TACAGAATAACCAACCTTTGAAAATAATTCTGGTTTTAGAAACATTTTGCCTGGTTTGGTTTTAAGGTAATTTTTTTTGAAGAGCCTCGGGTAGAGTTTTCCGTTCTCACTGAAAATAAATCAGTAACCACAAGGAGTTTTTTCAACATAGAACATGTCTATTTATTTTAACCTTTAATGAATTTCCAAGGCATCTCTGGGGAAGACGTTGCTACATCCCCCTTCAGGCTGACACCTTCATGTCCCTGGTGACCTGCAGCTGTCTCTACCCACACCTTTGCCCAGGGCTTTTCCCCAGGCTGTGGGGAGGTAGGAAAATCTTTTGGGATAAGCCCTCAACCAATGACTGATGCAGTTGGCACATAAATACCCCAGCTTCTTGAGGCATCACCTCCCAAGGGGGATCACTCTGGCTCACATATTCCATGGTGTCTCCCAGAGTTCCCCGGTGGAATAAAGCCTTAGTGTCCATAGTGCTGTCTTATTTGATAACTGCCCCATTTACAAAATACCTTTCCTTCCCGGACTCCCAGGAATGATTTTCTTTGAATGGGCAACAGACATTTAGAGAGTTCCTATGGCTTGCCAGGCAGTTTTTACATATTTTCTTTCTTTTATTTGCATAAATTTAAGGAGTTCAAGTGCAGTTTTGTTCCATGGACACATCGTGTCTTGGTGAAGTCTGGGCTTTTATTGTAACCATTACCCAAATAACGTACATTTTGCCCATTAAGTGATTTCTCATCCTTAATTTCCCTCTCTCCTCCCACTCTTCTGAGTCTCCAATGTCTATTATTCCACATCTACCAGTTTTCACTTATTTTCATATTTAATTATCGCAATTATATCTAGAGGAAGGCTTATAAATAAATCTAATAATTTTTGCATGGAAATTACAAGTTTCTCTGGTAAAAACTGACTAGCTATTCTTTTTAACGTTTTGCAATTTCGGTAAAATGGACATGATCGAAGCTATCTTGGATCCTGTTTGCAGTATTGGAATTGTTATTAAATAGCTTACTTCATGTTTTACTGGTAGTATGAGGTAGAAATAGAAGCCTATATCTTTATCACTCTTTATTCAATATTAGGGAAATATTATTCCCAAATAATTTTGAATTGTGGATTATGAATTATCACACTCATAGAGTTATGTGAAAATAGATTCAGTTGTCAAATTAATATAAAAAATATTTTTGTTTGTTTTTGAACTCTCAACCACAGTAGTATATTAAGTACTCCTAAAACTTGTACAGTTAAGACAATTTTCCTTAAACATGCATAACCCAGTGTTTCCCAGATAGATACTGGATACTTACTTTTTATGTATTTTGGGTTAAATGATAAAACCTAAAATACATTTAATGAACTTTTTCTAAATAAGAATATCCATATAGGATTCAATGTGCAGATACACATGCTCTGTCCCTGCAATACAATGTGAGACTTTGACTGTGGAGACTAAAACATATTGGAAAAATGACTCGATAAATAATGAAAAAATTAAAACATTATGAAAATGTCAGATATAGATAATCCAAGCTGTTGGATAATAAGTGCTATAGGAAATCAGAGGGTGAAATGATGAATATCATTTGGAGTTGCAGAAGATGACTTCCTGGTATAAATGTGTTTTTAAATATAAACAATTTTATTATAATAGAAAATGTTTGATTTTTAAAAATATTCTGTATTCCAGGCACCCCAATTCTCACCTTTTCATAGATAACCTATATGTTTTATTAGATGAGATTATATGTATGCATATGTATTCACATATCCACATATATAAAAACATACACATATATACATTCTTTTGTGTTATTGTTTAATGTATGTATCATGAATACTAGCTGTCTAAATATCATGGAAAGTAATTTTGCCAGATGTATAAAAAATCCACCTGTTAAATATTGAGAATGTTTGGGGTTTTGTTGTTGTTCTTTGCTAAATAATTTTCTTCCTTAATACAGATGAGGTCCTTGCCTTGTAATATGGAATCTGGAATGTAATTGTTACCCAGAATCCATCTCCTAAACTCTCTGTTAAACAAGTGTGCCTATTAGAGCTCTGCAGGGAAACACTAATTTCTCCACAGGTTATTGTGTGGTGCATAATGTTCATTTACGTTCCTTAGATCCAACAAAGGTCTGTATCAGGCTAACTTTTGCATGCAAAATTTGAGTTTATCATGGGTAATTATAATGCATAATTAAAATCATAAAGTTAATAGCTGCAATTTGTCTATTCAAACTGTACTTTTTGGTTATTTTATTTTTCCTATTGTTCCCTGCAGATCCCCCATGGGGCAGCCATATAAATGGCTGACAGAAATGTCAGTGTGATAACTGAATTCATCCTCCTGGGGTTGACTGATAACACTGAAATGAATGTTGTCCTTTCTGTGCTCTTTCTATTAATCTATCTCATTATCGTGTTGGGCAACATTTGGATTAACATAACAATTCTGACTAGTGCCCAGCTCCATTCACCCATGTACTTTTTCCTTAGCCAGCTGGCTTTCTTGGATTTCTGCTATTCTTCAGTCTTGATTCCTAAAATGTTGGTGAATTACGTAGCAGGACAGAAAGTCATCTCTTATCATGGTTGCCTCCTTCAGTATTCGTTCGTCAGCTGGTTCCTGACTACTGAATGCTTCCTCCTGGCTGCAATGGCATGTGATCGGTATCTTGCTGTTTGCCGCCCACTTCACTACAAAGGTCTAATGACTCCCACGTTCTGCATCTACCTGGTGACTGTTTCCTACCTGCTGGGCTCTGCAAACTCCCTCACCCATCTGAGTAGCTTGCTCAGTTTGTCTTTCTGTGGTCCCAATGTTATCAACCATTATTTCTGTGACATTCCGTTGCTCTTCCAACTCTCCTGTTCCGACACTCAACACAGTAAGGTTTTATTTACTGTCCTTTCTGGAGCAACATCAGTGACTACCTTTTTGATAGTGGTTAGTTCCTACCTGGGAATCCTGCTCACTGTCCTAAAGATACATTCCACCAGGGGCAGAAATAAAGCCATATCCACATGTGCCTCCCACTTAATGGTAGTGACTCTCTTCTATGGAACAGTGATGTTTACTTACCTGGGAACCAGCTCTAGCTACTCACAGGATAAAGCCAAAATTCTGTCTGTGTTGTACACACTTTTGCTGCCAATACTAAATCTTCTAATATATAGCATGAGAAACAGGGAAGTCAAAGAAGCCATGAAAATAATCATTAAGAGAAAAATATTTCCTCAGTGAACACGAAATTTTAGCCAGAAACATTTAAGACTATTTATCAATGCTGCAGTGAGTACATTGTTAAATATATGTGGGACTTTTGAGTTGGAGGCAGAAAGGTATTTGCAAATCAGTGTATGCGAAAAATGAATTCATTATTGACCTTCAGAAACATACATGTGCATATGTGAGCACACACATATGTGGGAAACTTTTCTTTTATGCTTTTAGGTTTAGTAGTTGGAAGTTAAACTACTTAGTTAAACTGACAAAGAAATGATAAACAGAAAAAGAGGCAAAGTTTATTCATACACATATGGGGGCACACAAAAGAACTGGCTCACCCAATAATTCAAGACCACGGTTTATGCATCTAATTTGTCACATGAAAGCAAGGGATGAGAAAGGCCTCTATAGGAAGAACATATGAACTTCTAACAGAAAAAAATAGGAGATAAAGGTTGTGATATTGCATGTTTCATACAGATTCCTGTGTCCCTTTCTTCTTCCAGGCAGAAAATCCTTCCGCTAGAGGAGATTTATTGGTATTTCATTCTCAGAAGTATCTGTCTTTAGTCTGACAAGCATAGCTCTGATAAAGCTTCTTTCTGCATTTGTTGAATCTCAAATGTCTTTAGATAAAAATATTTTTATGCCACTTTGGTATAATTTGAATCTTTTTAGATCCCAAATTGTGATTTTGAAAATCTAACTTCTTATGTAATAAAATGTCATCCATATTCTGTGGATTGGTTAGTTATATAATACAATTATCAGTTTTGTGAAAAATGTATAAGAACCAGTAGGTGCACAATCACACGATCATGTAGCAAACATACACACACACACACACACACACACACACACATACACACACACACACTCGCTCAAACACACATCTGCATCTCTCAAGGAGAATTGGTTAAAGGAAGTGTACTGACTTCTTCTTAGCAATGCCCAAGAGCTGAGCCATTTTGCAGATGATGAAATCAAGCATCAGAGGAGTAAAAACTCAACCAAGATAAGATAACATCAGTATTTGAGAGCTAGGATTCAAATATACCAATACTTGTATACTTGTACACAGATCTCCTCCTCATTTACATTTGAAAATAGTCTTTAAATTTCCTGTATGTATTTTGTGTGTCATCTTTTTCTAGAATTGTAATAATTTGAATATTTTATTTTAAAAAGTAATTCTGCAGTCTCAGATGGTTTCCCTTTAGGGTGACTCCAATTCTGCAAGTTAACAGAAATACCAAAACAACAATGTGAAGGTATTCTATATCATAATTCACCAAAAATCAGCCTTCAGGAAATTTCCATTAAAGAGTACAACCATTTAAAAATACTAAATGTTATACGTTTAACAAAATGGCTCTCGGAACCCCTTATGTTCATCTACCATTTCAGATGGTGTCTACGGTTCTGATCACTTGGCCATCCATCAAATCTTCCAGCAGCATTGTTTTCTTCGTAATTGTTAAGAACATAAGCATGCTCTTTGTTAAATGATATTATTGCAACATATAGTAAAGAATGGTTTTGGGTTTGAAAAACATGTTTATATTTATCAAAACAGAATTCATAGCAATAAATCTTATCTGTTAAAATCTATAAAAGTCTATGAATTTGTTTTACTAATGCTTGACAATGAAAGTTATGCAAATTCATAATTAAATGTATTAAAGCATATTTTATTTCATTGTTTCTATATAGTTCATAATTTCTTTCAGAAGAATCTCATTGTCAGATAGTTTAATAACAGCATATGCGTTTGCAAAAAAATAAGTAGTTACCTTTATTGTTATAACCAAATTTTCAAAAGCAAAATATTCCCTAATAAGGGAGTCCCTAGGACATAAAAAGCAGCTTTCTGAATATCTCATAATCATACAACAAACTTTAAGTCGACATTAAGTCTGCCAAAGTATATCTCTCTCGGTCTTTTACAGTTTAGGCTTTTACATTTAACAATGTAATTTATAACACATTGATAAAGTTCTCCATTTTAAAAATTATTTTCATATCCATAGATTCCAAATAATGGCTTTTTTTGGTAAAACATGTATAAACATTTTTGTTTTGATATTTTACCTAAATATTTTCCAAAAATTTGTATAGAATTTAATTACTTCAGCAATGCAATTATTGTATTTATTTAAAATTTTAGTTATTTTAACTAAATAGATAGAAATAATGAATATACTTTATAATAAAACCTTCCTTTAAGAATAATTTCAATATATTGAAAGAATAAGGGAAATAGTACATTTCTACCAAAACACTACAGTAATAATTGCTACAAGAAACAAACATATTGATGAATGTTAAAAAAGTAGTAATGAAATATCTACGTAGTCTAAATTACCTTTCTCCAAATAAATATTTAATAAGTACAAAGAAAGAATTGTAATTCTATAGTAAAAAAGTCTGGCATACACTAAGTCATGAAGTTTATATCACTAGTAATATCACCTATCAGTGTCATGTGTCCTGTGATAAAATGGAGGATTGTTTACAGATTGCCTCTCTGGAACGTTTCCCAATCATGAAAAACTTCAACTTAATTGGGAGAAAACATCAGACAAAGTTCAACTGGAGGATTTCTTTCCTATAAAATATTTGATGTACTAAAAAAGTATCACAGTCATGAAACAAAAGGAAAGAATATAGAACAGGAACAGGCTCCGACAGGCTAAAGAGACGTGACACTAACCACAATGTGGCACCCTGGATTGGATCCTGGAAGAGAAAATAGGACTTCAGTGGAAAATTTAGTAAGATTATTAAGTCTGTACTTTAGCTAATATTATCATTTCCATATAAATTTCTCAGGTATTAACATTCACACTGTGATTAATTTTAACATTAGTAAAGCTAGAAGTGTTTATAGAAAATCTATAGGTCTAAATATATTTAATGAAAAGTTTACGAAGAGTTGATTGACAGAAATCAAAATTAATGTATAGAAAAATGTAAATTCAATTAATCAAGTAGTAAATGACTGTCCTGTAATTTGGTCAACAATAGCCCCTATACCAACCGTTTATTTGTGACCACTATACATATTAGTTCACCATATATCAGAATATTAAATAGCTGAGATAAATTTGAATCTTCAAAGAGGCAATTAACTCTAGCGTGAGAGGAGAAATGATATTTTTTCATATTTCACACAAAGCATAGTACCTGCCATCGAATAGCTGTTTAATCAATTTATATTGAACAAATAC